TGCCTGGTGCGGGGCGGCCGGGCGGGACCACCATGCTCCGCCGCCGGGGCCTGGCCCCGGCCCTGGCCCTGGCTGCGCTGCGTTGCGCTGCGGGTGGGAGCCGGAGATCGCTGTGCGCGCTCATGGCATCTGATTTCTATTTAACCCGCGCCCGCGGCCTTTTCTCCGCACCGGCTCCGCCCCTAGGTTCCCAGAAAGCACGTGGGCCCCGGCCGCTTTCGCTTTCCCTCTGAGTCACCCGGCGGCTGGCCGGGGGAGGGGCCGCGCCGCCGGCTCCTGCTTCTCGGGAAGCCGCCAATGCAAATGCGGCTTCCCCAGAAGGGCGCTGCTGGCGGCGGGGGGGTGGGTGGTGTCGCTGGAGCTGGCGAAGGTCTCCCCTCGCAGCCTCACCTTGTCCGCGTCCCCGCGCTGCCCCGGCAAGGTCGTGCCGGTGTCAGCCGCGGCCGGAATCGCTCTGAGCTCTTCCCAGCAGTCAGCCCGCTGCTGCGCTGCCGGCGGGTCTGGTCCGGGCTCCTCCAGGAGCCGATGGGCTCAGAGCATAAATAAATAATCAGCAGTGTCCCCAGTCTCTTCCAGGAGCCTACGGGCTCTGTGACTTCTGAGCCTCTCCCGCCTCCTTTTATTCAGGCTTCAGTTAACAGTTGATGGAGCAGGTGATTTTTTTTCTTCTCTGTTGCCAGTAATGATGTTACCATCTCTCTTCTTACATGCTCTGTCTAATGCTGCAGAGCACAGGAAGTACATCTGTGTGCGTGTGTGAGAGAGAGAGTTGTGCAACCCGCTGGCGTCGCAGCACACGGCTAGTTGTGCGTGTGGCGGCTCCCGGACCCCACCGGAGCGCAGGTCTCTGCCGGGGCGTCCGCACGGCAGGGCAGTGGTTCTGAGTGCTTTGAAGTGGCCACCCCATCGCGCTGGCTGCACGTCTCAAGGCAGCTGCCTGTGCAGAGGCGTTGCCGCTGACCGTCTGAATGTGATGCGTCCAGGTGAGGGAATGGCCTAATGCGAGTCCTGGGTAAGCTGGGGTGTGCTCATGGGAAAGGATGTGGTTGCCTGCTCTCATATTCGGCAGGCTCTTGGCTCAACGGTTGTCTGGGTGGATGATACTGGCTTAAGGATGCTCAACTGTAAGTGCCTCGTGCAGAGATAATCAGTGATGGTCCCGTCCATGTCAGCGCTTGGCGTCTTTTCCAGTTCTGTCGTTTTTCAAGTTCCATTTTTTTCTGTTCCTTAGGCACTAAGGTAACGTCAGGAGCATGCATGTATTGCTTAGATGTTGTACACAGGAAGTCTGTATCCTGAAACCCAGGCCCAGTGCTGAGGGTGCAGCAGCAGGAGCTTGGGCTCCAGCTAGCTCCCACCTTGCCCCCCCCTCCAAGTGGCTCCAGGCCTGGCCTTGGGGTGCCCTGGCTTCTGCAGGTGCCTCTAAGGAAATGCAGCTACACCCAGGCCAAGGAGCGTTGCCAAGCTGCCTCTGGACATCCGTGGGCAGGGGCAGGGGCAGGTGCAGGTGCGGTTGCCACCACAAGAGGGTACTGAAGGCCACGGCCTGGCAAAAATGGCCCACTTGACAGCTCAGTGGCTGTCCCACGTGAGAGAAAAAGCTGAGGGGACAGTAGACAGGCAGCAGGACCGCCTGGCCTGGGATTCAGGGCAGCTCTGTGGCACGAGCACCTCTCGTACCTCCACCGTGCACATGCTTTGGGACATGCAGTCCAAGAAGATGCCCCTGCTGTGCGGTGTGAGCTGCCCTGCACTGAGAGCAGCAGCAAGAGACACTTCATTTAACAGAAGGCAGTGGGAGCTCCACAGGATATGCCTCGTGTGGCCTTGTTTCTGAGAGTCGGGAATCCTGTCCAAGTCCCCTGCTGTTGCAGGCTGTGTTCAAGTGCATGGCTTGTGAAGAAGTTGCAGTCACTGCTTAGTACTTGAACTTGGAACTCCATGCTGAGTTATTTTGGGTGTGGACTTGTGACAGGATGATTATGTATGTCACATTGTATCCTATGATAAATGTACTTTGCTGTGAGGAGCAGACACAAGTCCACCTCCCCGGAGCTGACAGCCTGAATGAAGTAGGAGTTATAGCTGTACCTGGCCACCTGGGGGCAGAGGTGCTAGTTTTCACTGAGCAAATGATTATCCTGGGAATTAAACTAAGTCCAGGAGCAGGCACATGTGTGACAGCAGCACTATATAGCTACTCTTTACTTCCTGCAGGGTAACTTTATCCTGGTGTGCAGTGTCTCACACTGGTATAAGGTTGTGCATGGTGCCTTGGCTCCACTTTCACTACAGAGTAACATCCGTTTACTCTGTAGCAAGCTTGTCATGTCTGCACCCTCCTGGGTACAACTCATCAAGACCTTGAAGAAATTAAAGCAGTGTTACGAAGTTCAGTCCACCATGAATTTTCACAGAAACTTCTTAGAAACAAGTGAGCTTAGAGTCCCCTTCCAAAGAATTTCTGAGTAACTGGTATTGCTTTTCCCGAGAGCCCATGCCAATGGTTAAGATCTTAAGTATTTTTGGACAATGAGGGCATAGGACGACGACTGGAACTGAAATTTGCTTTAAAGTATATATTGGCATACAGTTTGTTTCCACTGTCTGCTTTGCTGTAATGAGTGTGCTGAGTGATCACAATGGAACTGGTATGATGTTGGGTAGAGATCACTCTAGGGTAGCATTTGAGGACCGGCTTTTATTGTGTTCCCATTTAACCAGGCAATACATAAAATAAACAGTAAGAAACAATTCTTATCCCAGTGACCTTACAGTTCAGTTACACAAGAGAGAAGGAAAGAAGCATACAGAAGTTAAGCACTTACCTCAAGGTCACACAGCAGATCAGCAACAAGCTAACATTAAAGCCCAGTTTGCTGTCCCTTCATCTATGTTGTCCCTCTGGAAGTCACAGGTGTGAAGTTGAAGTGTTACTTTTCATTATCCCACAGAAATGGGAAAGGTGCTGCACCAGACAAGAACATGTTGCAAGTGCTTTCTAACTGCTATACAGCTACTACAGCTACATACAGACTCATAAGAGCAAGTGAGAGGGAGGGGGCAGCAGCTGAGCTGCTGTGTGGTTTGGGCTGGTTTTTTTGCAGACTGCAGAGGGAAAATCCAAAGCATGTAGATGTAGGTTCTCCATCACGTGGTAGGTATAACAGCAAGCAATGAGCTCTCCAGAAGAGCAGCAATAGGGGCTCTCCAACAAGAAGGTCAAGGCCTCCTGGTTCAGGGCTGGACAAAGGTCAAAGGAGCAGAAATAATGCTGATTGCTTAGTTGGGTGGAAGTGACCTGGTAGATCTGCAAGCTGGGATATAGGCATGTCTACAGCACCATGCAGAGTTATCTTATCTAGCCTGGGTATCAGAAGCGATCTGACCACAATGCTGTGGCACTGGGAAACTCTACCTTCTATCACCACACAGTCAGCAGTGAAAACTAGTTAGTCTTGGTTGGGGGCACACTACCATGGCCTTACAGCTCCTGGTATCTAAGCTAGTCCATTCAGAGCTAATTGTATAGTGCCGTGTACTGGGAGATGTGCCCCATGACAACCAGGTATGTAGATGTGCAGAACTTGGCACCAGTCCTTTGTGATCATGATGGCATTGTGGGAGGTGGGCGGTGATACTGTGGCTGTGTAAGTATCTGTGTAAGTACTGTGGCTCTGTGCCCTCAGAATAGTTGACAGTACCTTCCCATGTGCATCATGGCCTGTGGTGGATGTTATTTGTTCCATAAGCTTATTCCTTTCCTGAGAATGTTTGGTAGGCTGGATATTGTCTTCTGGTAGGAAAAAAAGGGATCTGAGAAATGACCATCACACTAGTTAGACTCTTCTGGCTTTTGAACTTCTAGGAGCCCCTGCTACTTTCATGACTTCTGTTGCTTCCTCTCTTTCCCTGACTCTTCTTCCACTCAGTCTTTCCTACTCACAGAAGGTGACCAGCTATTTAAAATAAAAAAACCCCAGGACCACCAGTAGCTTGCCATTGGGGAAAGAGTGCTAATGAAAGTGGGCTTGAAAGTTGAAGTGGACAAGGGTGATACGCCACTTCCAGGTCCACCAGAGGGCATGCTTGTGGCACCCCCACCCCCGCTCGGCGACTGTTGCCTCCTGGGTCTGCGGAGGCACCTGGGGTCCCCCTGTGGCTGAGCTGGGTGGGTAGCAGGGGGGTGGGCGGCAAAGTACTTCCAGTCCAGTTCTGGGTTCACTGCCTAGCACGTGTCCCCCCCAAACGCTCCTGTGGGACACTCCATCCGGTCCAGCATCGCAGTATTCATGAGCCGTGGCTGGTACCTAGAGGTATGTAGAAAAAACATTTGAAGCTGTGTCTGTGTCTGAATTGCTGATTCTCCAAATCAGCATCGAATCTTCAAATTTGGATTCGGCTGAATCAAATTGGGGACAGTGATCCGAATCAACTGATCAAATCACTGTCCCCGATTCAGGCCAAATCTGAACCCGAATTGAATAGGGCCTGTTTTGCACACCCATAATAATTAGCACATGCTAAGAGTGCTTAAAACAGGAGTGTTCCCTCTCGGGCACTTAGCTTGGCGGCCTCCTGGGGGGAGGATGATCTGTCACTGGTCTTAGGCAGCCCATGTTGCAGTACCATTAGACTATGACAGTAGTTGAGGCAGCCTTGCGGGACTGCACATAAATGAAGAACTCAGGTTTCAGGTGAATGCTGCAGAATCCCTTGGAACCTGATGTATGAACAGTGAGTCATGTGGTTCTGATCTGCTTGTGTATGAACTAAATCACTCTCTGATATTCTCCAGGTGGTTCTCACTGGAACCTCTCCTGCTTCTTATGCAAATACTTTTTCTGAATTGCTCAAAACCTCTTTCTTTTTCAAAATGCGTCATTTCGGTGGAAAGTCATGCAGGACCAAACCTTGATAAGCTTATTCAATACAAATCAGTCTAAATCAAAACTTCTATTTCACTAAAGTCAAGGTATGGGAGAAAGGGGACTGGGACTTCTTTGTATCCAGGGCTCTATAAACACAATATTTATTATAACTCTGTTCCCTAAAGAATTCTTAATTTAAATTGACTAGAATAGTCTTATCTCTGTGGTACAGATGGCAGCTGGAGCATGGAGCAGTTGAATGAGTCACATGGGGAGTCTGTCGAAAACTCAAAAATGGAACATCATAGAAGTCAGGCCTGCTGAACCTTAACATGAAACCATCCTTCCTGTTTCTGGTAGGTTTTGTTTTCTTCTCCAGAATCTAAATTTTCATTTAAAATGAAACCTCTGAAATCAGAACTCTCTCAGTTGTTTGTGTAAACCAGATACCACGCTATTTTTGAGCCTGCCTTCAGACGTACTGAAACCAATAGCGTCAAGAGAAGTGTGAACCTTCCTCATTTGTCTAAACTAGATATTAAGACCAAAATCTGACATTTCTTAAATTCTCCACTGTTTAAATATAACAATTCTTTCAGGAAGACACTTCTTTATTTGTCTTCACTATGTCTCTCTCATGATCACAGTCAAGCAGCAGTAAGACAAAGCACGCGAGTCCAAATTTTCTGCAGGCTCATCGAATCATCTATGCCTTGGTAAAATGACCATAAAAATTGATCACTTCCCACTGATGTAAACTGCTACACCAGGTGTGAAACAGTGGAGAACTGAGCTTTTTATTATTTTCTTTATGTACAGATGTTACTGAATAGGTAAGTCATCTTACCTAGAGAATAAAAGCCACAGTGTGATAAGATGCAGATTGTTTACTAAGGCTCAATGGGTATAGCACTTACAGCCAGTTAGGGGCTAGCTACTTGAACTGAACAATTCACTTCTTCCTAATTCTAGAATTTTTGTTTCTTGGCAGATAAAGCTTCCTGCAGATTCCCTTTCCCTTCCACTCTTCTCCATTGTATACTCCTCAGCCTTAATGGTATAGCTTCATTTTAACTCATTGAAATCATAGGAAGGTTTCAAACAAGGATTAGAAACACAATTGGATTATATCCACAGTTACAGTAAATAAGGTGAAAGGCTGGGGTTTTAAACTAGCTGCTGAAATTCAGTGGGAACGAGGCATCTCCCTAAGGTTCCTTTGAAAATTGCAGACAACGTGTATGTGAGAGAGGGAGAAAGCCTTGTTTCAGACCACAGACTACCTGCTAACAACGTTTAGGAAGACAGTGTCCCTGTGGACAGGTTCTTTCATAATTGTTCATCAGGAAGGTGTTTGTTATTTCTTCTGCAGCATCTGGCATGGCATTTCTTAGACTCAGATTGGTGGAGGGGCCCCATCCCTCCCTGCTTGCTGCCCACGCTGGATGGCCAGGAGAGGAAAACTGCAGCCCTAATCAGAGGGAAGTACAGCTGGAAGGACCTTGTGAGGTCACCTAGTCCAGTGGTTCTCAACCTTTTTTGTACCAGGACACATTTGTAAACATCAATGGACAGTCCAAACCCAGTAAATAATTTAAACAGCCCCTGGCTCTGCCAGTGCCCCCCACTCCTGACCCGCTGCCCCCACCCCAGCCCGTCAGTATGTGGGGTGGAGGGGGGATGCAACGGGGGATGAGGGGGGCAAGCAGCCTCTTACAGGCTGGAATTCTGCCAGCCTGCAAGGGAAAACCCAGTTTCCCATGTTTTTCTCCATTAAAAAAGAATCCATTTTTAAAGTCTGTTCACAACCCTTTCATATATTCTTGTGACCCACTTTTGGGTCACAGCCAACAGGTTGAAATACTGATCTAGTCCAGTCTGTGCTCAAGGCAGTATCATTTCTGACTAAACCATCCCAGCCAAGTGTCTGTCTAACCTGCTTTTGAAAACTTCCAGGCACGAAGACTATATAGCTTTTCTGTATAGCTTACTCCAATGCTTGATCACAAAGTCAGAAAATTCCTTCTAACCTCCAATCTAAATTTCCTCTGCTGAGCTTGAAGCTGTTGCACCTTGTCGTGTCCCCTATAGCCAAAGAAAAAAAATCCATCTCCATGCTCACCCTTCAGGTATTTGAAGACTGTTATCAAATCCATCCTCAAAACCTCCAGACATGGGACATCTCTTCTCTAAGCCACAAACCCTAGACCTTTCAGCCTTCCCTAAACATTTTTGTGGCTCTTCATTGGACTCTTTCTAATCTGTCCAAATCCCACATACTTCTTGAAGTGTGGGGCTCAAAACTGGACACAGTACTCCAGTTGTTGACTCACCAGTGCTGAATAGAACAGCAGAATCACTTCCCTTGATTTGCAAGTGACCCTCTTGTTAATATAATCCAAGATGCTGTTGCCTTTTTGGGGGGACAAGAGCGGACTCTTAGCTCATATTCAGCTTATGGTGTACTGTAACCATCAGGTCCTTCACTGCAGTACTGCAGCCTAGCTTCTCATTCCCCAGTCTGTATTTCTGTGTACATTTATTCCATTCCAGGGAAGGACTTTGCACTTGTCCTTTTTTAATCTCATCTAATTGATTGTAGACCATATCTCCAGTCTATCCAAGTAATTCTTACTCTCCAGAGTGTCTGTAACTCCACCTAACTTGGTGTCATCCACAAATTTGCTAAACCTGCACTCAATCCCATCATCCAATTCATTAATGAAGATATTGAACAATACCAGAGCCAGGACAGACCTCTGAGAAATCCCACTTGGTACCACCTCCCAATTAGATATCAAGCCATTGATGACTATGCATTGATCATAATGATCCAATTAGTTATGTATATGTCTTACAGTACTTTCAGCTAGTTTGTATTTCCTTAGCTTGTTAATGAGAATGTCATAGGAAACATCCACTGTTCCTCACCCACATCCACAGAGCCTGTCAACTTATCACAGATGGAAATCAGGTTGGCTAGGCATGACTTGCTTTTGGTGAATCCATGCTGGCTGTTCCTCAGGCTGTTGAATTGCTGCAGGCTTTGAAGACAGCTGAATGACAAGGAAAATAGGAAGCCCACATACCCTTTCTGAAAAAGACGGCTGATGAGACATCAAGGCCACAATAAAGATGTCTCTGGAAGACAAGCTGAGTGAAGCTGCAAGAATATTCATGATGGAAATAAGATACAAGAGCTCTCTGCTCAGGTACAGAGAAGACTTAGAAGCATACACTTTGTTAAACCTAAAAGGCCAAGCCTCAATCAAAAATCTTGATGTTATAATAGGGGAATTTTAGTGGTATCTAAAGGAGGAGAGAGAGAAAGGCAATCCTAGAATGTATCCCTTAGGTCAGGGCTTTGCAGGCATTCAGCGGTGTGGGGCTTCCGTGTGCTGGTGCTCTTCCTGCGTGGCTGTGTAGACAAGTGGTGGCCAGGTCCCAGTGTTTGCCTGCGTGCCTCTGAATCAGAGTGGGTTATTTAGGCCCGCAGCTGGAAAAGCTTTCCTGCCCTACTTCTAGGTTCTTGTGCTGGCTGATTTTGAATTTGAGAGAGCATGGCAGTCTCTGGCCCCTACGCCTTTCTCATTAGCATTAAAAGTTACATCTCTCAAATTCCCTGTAAAAGAAAATACAATGGAACTGCCTCCTGCTTGGAGGAAAGTCATGTAATAAAGATAATTTTTTTGTAAATTTAGCAAAATATTTGGTACAGCTGAAATCAGTCTTCAGGGCTAAAAGTATAGACGGTCAAAATGCCAGAGGCTGAATTGATTCAATCTTCACAGGTTAGTCTAAACTGCATAGATTAAACCAATAAGCAAGTGAACGGACATTCACTTTTGATTCCAGAAATGTAGCCACATGCCTTCAGCTTCTGGCCTGAACCAGTGGGGGATGCTAGAGCACACCACCCTGCTCAGCTGGGGCAGATGGTTTGGGCCAAGGCTACCCTGTCCACCCTCCTGGGGGGGTGGGGAGGGGCGGTTGCCAGGGAGGTGCAAAGCATCCTGGGATGTTGGTGGACTGTGAGTTAACTTGAATCTGGAGGGGATCTGGGACAGAAGTTCAATAAACCGATTTAACATAAATCAGTTAGGTCTGCTGCTACATCCATCCAGATTTATTTTAAACTGGTTTTGGCCATTTTGAAAGTGTTTTTTATGCAATGAACTTCTGTTGTGTTACAGATATGAACCAGTTTCCAATCACTTATACCAGTTGACATGTAATTTCTGTCCATAGCCTAAAAGATCAAGGGAGGTTGCCAGGAGTTCAAGACTCAGATATTTTTATGCAGTTCCTAGCTCAGTTTCATTTCCAGCATTGTGGGGAAGTGGATCCATTCCAAAAACCACAAGAAACAGAAAACTTTTTAAGTAGCCCACAGTAAATTGAATTCCTGTTTTGTTTTACACCAAATTTACTTCCCAATTATTATGTCTGCCCTGCTTGCATGTTGGAAGAAATCAGAACTTGTGGTAGGGGTAATATCTTTTATTAGACCAACTAGATTGTTTAAAAAAATTCTTTATTTGCAAGGTTTTGGGCACAAACACCCTTTTTCAGGCACTAGAGGAAAGTTTGTAAAAGTTCTCCTAGGTAGAAATGCAAGTTCATATTTCACAGGAGAGTTGAAGGTGTGGTAAAATCCCGTTTGGAACAGCTCACTTTATGCAGATTAGGCTCAGAGAAAAGTTAGATTAGTCTGTTTATCTCAAAGTTGTTTGTTCCAGGTGAACAAATCAGGCATTGCATTTGTTCAAAGTAATTTGCATTATCACAGAGCCCAGAGACACCTCACCATATAAGAAATTCCTGCCCAGAACAGCATTCCACTTTTTTTACTTTCCTGTGAGCTATGAAACATCATAACCAGAAGGAATATGACTCTATATCCTGCTTGCCACTCAACAGCTTCATGGTAAACAAATTAATCCAACTTTTCTCTAAGCCTAATCTGCATCAAATGAACTGTTCCAAACAGGAGATTTTACCGCACCTTCAACTCTCCTATGAAATATGAACTTTCATTTCTACCTAGGAGAACTTTTACAAACTTTTCTCCTATTCCTGATGAAGGGTGCTTGTGCCTAAAAACTTGCAAACATAGCTTTTTTTTATTTTTTTTGCAAAAATCTAGTAGGTCTAATAAAAGATATCACCTCAACCATGAGTTTTGATTCCTTTTGCCTGTAGACCAGGGGTAGGCAATGTTTTTTGGCTGGAGTGCTGAAAAAACCACAATGTCTAACTTGGAAGGTGCAGGAGTGCTGACATGCCGGAGCCCGGAGCAGCTGTTTGCAGCCTCCCAGCTACAGCCGGCCACAGAGCCTGGTCTGCTTGCAGTAGG